AAAGGACAGTGTTTATACAGAAGAGATAAACTTTCCAGAAGCCAGAATCGTTGAGTCACCTTTGACCACTAGTGAAAAACAGTAGAACAACAAATGACCTTTTTGAACTAAAGTGTACAACCTACTGTTTCTGTGATTTCAGCACTTGCCTAGACTCTTGGCATCAGTAGCATAATCTCTGAGTTTTATTTCTAATTTCTAAAATTGGAAATAAAATTGGAAATTTCTAAAAAGCCGACCTTTCTAAGTAACCTTAAATTGGTCAAAATGACTAAGACCATGTAATCATGCAGGTAATGCTGTTTTAACATTGGTTACATAATTAACATGTGTACAGAACTTTATAGTTTCAACACCTTTCACTACATTACTCAGTTGGCCCTCACAACGTTCACCTAGGGCAAGTTTTGTACCTTCATCCCATTTTGCAGATGAGGAAAATGAAGCCCCGATATATTAAGAGATCTTGGTGTTACATAGCTTCAGTGGAATTTACAGGAGACTCAGAGTCTGATTTTTACAGGAGACTTCCGAGCCTGATACGATTTTGGCTTTCTGTAGCGAAGTGTTTATTGTCCATGTTGTTTACGAAATAGTGTTTCATTTGGCTATGGATCTCTTGGATAACAGACAAAGCTTTCCTATTATCTCTTGACTGTATGCCTAATTGATTTTTTTTTTAAATTTAAGAAAGCACTGACTCAGGTAAGCATCGCTTAGCATTGCATTATGGACCTGCAATATTAGTGTGATAGGTATCCACCAATAAATTTTCAACATATCAAATGGGGAGAAGGGAGCATTCCCAGTATACAGTAATTGCCTGCCTCTTCTCACCAGAAACAGAAGACACAGATGGATGTTTTGTAGACATGATGGAATCTGGAAATACAAAACACAACATCCAAAAAAATGCTGGCAACACAGTGCGCTCACTGTTGAGTATAGGTTGTTTATCCTCATGATTGCATGTCTGACTGGGACCTGCCGCTCACTGTCACTGCCCAGCATCACAAGAGAGTATGGTGTGACTTATCACTTTCAAAGATCAAAATTCAAAACTTTATGTACTGTTGCTACTGAATGCGTATTGCTTTTGCACCATTCTAAAGTAAAAAAGTTATGTCAAACCATCATAATTTGAGGTCTGTCTTTATAACCATGTTCTATAATCTTTACCAGATACTCTGTTAAGATTAGCATTTGATCATTGCTTTATTTAAAGAGCTGTCTCTTTTAGAGACTCCAAATTGAATCAGGATGTGACTTTGGATTTTAAAGGTATACAAAGGAGAACTGTATTGATTATATAAGTTTTAAATGATATAAGTTTTGGAGAATAGGTCATATAAGGAAGGATAAAATAATAAATTTCATGTAACTAAGGGAGTTTAGAAGTTGAAAAAACCTTAAACAGTTTTCATATAATCAAGGAATTTTTAAGAGTTTGAAATAATAGAATTCTCTGATTTGTATAATGAAATTGACTTATCTTTTATTTACAAAATCTTGGGAACACATTTAGAAGAACTACTATGCTGAAAATATCTAAAATTTACTTATAAATCTTCCATAGTATTATTTCAACCTATGCCACCTATAGATACTCTATTGGAGAATTAGGTTAATCATTAGAAAAGCATGTCCAGCTGTCTGGATGGATTTGGGTTTGGTTTGGTTTTAGTTTTTGCCCAAAGATTAGAAAATACATTTGATGACCTAAAATGACCTCTCCTGGGCCTGTGGCACTGTGAAGTCAGAATTTTGAATTTTATGAAGCTGTTTTATATAACTGTTATATAGCTGTTTTATATAGCTGTTTTATATTATATTGTCAAAGAGGAAGTTTCCAAATAATGTCATGAAATAATCTCCTTTCCCCAATCCTGTCGAGTGTTGATCCACGTTCTCTATTTTTTATTTATCTCCATTCACTCCCTTGGTAATTTCGTCCAGTCATATGGCATTAAATACCATGTTGATGACTCCCAAATTTATTTCTCCGGAATAGACCTCTCTCCAGAACTCTAGGCTCGTATATCCAACTGCCTTCTGAACATCTCAATTTGTACACTTAATAAACATTTCAAACCCAACATGTCCAAAATGAAATAAATGTTCTTCCCAAAATTTGCTCCATGCTCAGCCTTCTTCTCAGTTGATGGCAAACCCTTCCTTCTTGTTGCTCAGGCCAAAACTGTAGAATTTGTTTCTGATTTCTCTCTTTTTCTCTCTCTCCACATCCAATCTGTGAGAAAAACCTGGTCATTCTCAAATTATATCCAGAATCCCACCACGTCTCGCTATTTTGTCTGCAACCAACCTGGACTGAGCCACCATCATCTCTAAATTGGATTATTGCAATAGTTTCCTGGCTGCTCTCCCTGCCTGTGCCATTTCCCTTCTCATCCCCCAGTATTCTCAACACAGCAGCCATATACGTTTCAAATATGTCATGTGTCAGATTATGTCACTCTTCAGCCCAGCACTCAGCATGACTCCTCGTTTCACTCAGATTCTGAATCAATCAAAGTGCTCGCCATGGTCTCCAAGGTCCCTATGGCTATGTCCCCTCCCGATAACTCTGACCTCTTCTCTCCTTCACTCTTCCCTTTGCTTCCTCTACTCTAGTCACACTGATCTTGCTGCTTCTGGAACATGCCTGTGGCAGGTAGGGGTCCACTTTAGGTTATTAGTTCCAGATGTTCTCTCTGCCTAAAATTCACTTTGCCCAGAGATCCATATGCCAAACTCCCTAACTTCTTCAAGTTTTTTCTCAGATGCCACTCCCTCAAGGAGATTTATTGAATATTCTTTAAAAGTGCAAACTGCCCCCTGCCAAAAATTTCTGATCCCCCTTTATCTGCTTTTTATTTCTTTTTTTTGGTACTTATCACCATCTAATATATTATAGAACTTATTGATATACTTGTTACCTATCTTTCCTCATCGAAATGTGAGCTCAATCAAGGCAGAGATGTCTGCCTGTTTTTGTCCATTGATGTCGCTCAAGTACCTGGAATGGCCTCTGGCCATTCTTCAGCTCCTACCACAAACTGCCCAGTAAGCACATAGGAAGCTGTGCACAACTGCTCCCACCAATGAGAAACACCACAGAGAATTACCCATGAGGCACTGTGTGTGTGTGTGTGTGTGCACATGCGCACGCATGCACAAAACATTTGTATTCTAGACATGTCAGTCAGCTCGTCTGCTACAACGCACCTTTCCTTCTTGCATATCCTTCTTGTCCACAACCACAGCCATTTACTTTATGACCCTCCCTGCTTCATTCTCCCTCCAGAGGCTTATTGAACCAGTGGCAGCACCTAATATTAGCCAAACCCTGCACGGATCAGGCTAAGTCAATCAGATTCTCCACTTTAACAATCAGATTCTCTATTTTAACAATAAAGACCATAATCTTCCTGTAACAGTCTAATAGTTGTGTGATTTCTAGATTTTATGCCATCTATTTTTGGGTCTGTGCAAAACACAAATAGGCAAAAGAAACTAAAGGCAGAAGAATGAAGCAGACAAAGAAAGGGTTTAGACACACAATTATACAAATTGGAAGTTCATAGCTCCACTTGGCTGGTTACCTTCTATTTTTTCTTAAGATTTCAACCTCAACTTCACTTTCAAGAAGGCTTTACTATCCTCTCAAAATTAGTTGGGCTCTGCATCTAATATTTCTATTTTGTACAATTTTGCTATTTTTAAAATATTTTAAATAATTGGTTAATGTGTACCCCCACTAAACCTTAAGTGCCAAGAGGACAGAGAAATTTTCTTATTTCTGCTGCTTAGACAGTGCCTGGCACATAGAGGTTCCTCAATATATGTATGTGATAGATAGACACTCTTATCTGGGAAAAAGGGAGTCATTTTAATTCTTAACTTTCTTGTCCCAGTTAGAGCTAATGTTACTTTGGTTTCTATTGCTAAATGTCTAAAAAATCACCATGTTTATAATTATAATAATAAGCCCATCTTTTCTTTCTATTCTGGCTTAATATATTTCTGTTCCTTAAAAGGGGGTTAAATATATGATGATGGAAAGAAATTTGACTTTAATTGGTGAACACACAAGACAATATACATATGGCATATTGAATTGTACACTTGAAACGTATATAATTTTATGAACCAATGTCACACCAAAAAATTTAATTTTAAAAAAGACCTATAATTAAAGAGAATGTACATAAAACAGATAGGTGAACAGAGAAAGGAGAGGCCTAAGATTTAAGAGAGTAGAAATAGCATCCATGTGTGTGTTCAGATGTTCAGTTCATTCATTGCTACATGTTTAAAATGAGTGTTATTATTATTCTTATGATAACATTATATCAAGCTTCTATTTTGACCAACAGTTATAAGAATATTCTTTGATGCAACACTATTTTTAATAAATGGTGAAGTTCAAATTGGAAAAAAAATTAATCTCTTTAACAACT